CCTTTATACGCTGTCAGGACGGAGTTCTTCTCTACAGCACAAGCTTAGGAGCTATCTCACAGTTATATCATTCCATTCTACAGCAGTTCTTCAATATCCCAAGCTTACTCGTTTGTGAAGTAATTCCCACAAACAGCCTTTTGAACTTCAAATCATACGAAAACAAGACCAAAAAAAAACCAACCAAGGGAATGTCTTCATTAGAGACAGCTCATAGCACAAACCGGGTTCATGACATGCTGCTGCATTTTTGTTGCTTATAGCTACTCTCGAAGACAAGGGGCTGCTTTAAAATGTGAATGTGGAGTATAGGTTAAGTAAGAGGTTTCTGCAAAGAATGTGTCACGTTTTGGGAAGTTTATGCACTCTCTGTTTGGGTGAGTAAGCAGGCCCTAACCCTGCTTAATGGTTAGCTTAGTCTTAGTGAAATCAGTGGGACTGTGCCCCTACATGGTCCTCTATGCCACTTTTTAGAGCTGTGTGATACAGCACTTTAAGTATTTGCTTTGTGTGATGAAAATCTTGATGGGAGGTGTAGTTCCTGCCGATGTGTAATAGTATTTCCATGAGGAAAGCCATGCTGTCCAGAAAAAAAAGGACCAAACCTGAATCGTTTTTAAAAGCTAGTAAATTAATTTTTTCCTGAAGTGTTACAACCCAACATGGCGGTAAGATTATCATTATAGGTGTGTTGCGAATGAAATCTGTTTAGACTGCTTAGACTGTCAGGGGAAAAAAGAGAGTATCAACGGCATGGCTTTAAGATGGTGCCTTTTTAGAGCTGATCAGTTCAGCTCCATTCAACAAACAGTACAAATTAAAAGAGGACGAGGCTAGTTACTAATGGCAACTTGGTGGTTTCATCACCAATATGAGAAATACATGTTTAAATATACCACAGCTTTCGCCAGATGTGTGTGCCTTGTGTAACTGCCATCAAAGAAAGCTTTTTTATATTCTCACAGGAGCCGGGTCAGTCTGAATCCCAGTCCCAGGAGCTATACGTGCTTAAAGGTACCGTTCAAAGAAATCAGTGCGGTGGCATGTGCAGACTTGGAGAACAGGACTTGGCAGCCATCGTGTCCCCGTGAGGTAGTGCTCAAATTCAGACCAGTGAAGCTGTTCTACTAGTTAACTGACTTGGATAGCTCTTTTTAAGGACCTTCCAAGTAATATTTATAACTTTCTGAAAGAGGCCTCCTGACCATGCGAGCAACCTCTTGTCAACAGCCTGTTTCTCTTCTCCCCGAAACCCTACCATTTAGTCTCCATGACCACCCTCACTTCACAGCTGGCCTCCACAGTCCCCAATTATTGCAGAACTTGCCAGACAGAATCAGTGTTCCCTGTCTGAGTCCCAACCCTGACTGAGATTCTCAGTCCAAAGAATCTCTTCTTGTTTATGCAGCTCATCTAGGCTGACATCAGTCTCCTTCAAGGCAAGAAATATGCTTGCTTTGAGAGATGTGCATCAATTCTCACTACCACCTTGTCTTTTAATGTCACAGAAGTTCAAATATGAGGCTGATTTAATGCAATCAAGGCTGTCTAGAACGTTTTCATAACAGAGAGTTGTATCAAAACATCTATTTGCTCCATGAAAATTGAAGAGACTGTCACAAGTGACCACAAGGCCGTAAGACTGAAAAAAGGTTTCTCAAAAAAAGCTTGGATAAATCTGACACATCAGCAAAATGTAGTCCTTTGCATATTAAAATGATTCCCTGGAGTCCCAACGTGCTTGTTGTACATTAATGAATTATGCCTTACAATGTCAGAGTGTACCAGAATAAAGATTACCTATTTCCTTCTCTGATAGAAATGTCTTTAAGTTCCAAACTGGATCCATATTTCAGAGGTCTCCAAGTTCAAGAGTTTTTATCACCAGGGCTGTATTTCAAGTTGATCTTTTTGCTTTGTAAGGTTATGCTATTTTCATCATCAATATCCCCTTTTTCTGAAAAGTGTACATCTTCACAGCGTAACCCAGCATTTCTGTCGTACATTTTCATTAGTCGGCTGCATTTTCTATTTACTGGTAAATGGATTTCTGAGTTATTGCAAATTTTTTAATGATGAAATTTCAGGTTTTCTCACCTTTTCCATGGCAGCTGTGAACATCTTAATTGCTTCAGTTTTTACCTGTTCTTGAACACAGGCAAAATGATCTCTGTTTCAGTGGTTTTCTCTTGAATAAAATTCCTTGTAATTTCTGAAGATCCAAGGGAGTTGGGAAAGGTATTTGTGTTAGACACAACAAGAGTATTTATCATTAAAAGAATCTCTTGCGCAGCAATATTGTAACTGATTAAGCAGCATCGTTTGTCTCAGCAAGAATTAGTGTCTATAAACTATAGCTGTAGGTATCCTTCATTTTTATCTGCGATTCCTCCTTCAATGCACTTCTGCCAAATGCAGTATAGTACTTGGAAAAAATTGTGTATATGCTTACCTCTAGCTATGGGCAATAAATCAGACATACCTAGGATTATGACCTAATCAAAATGGTCAGCAAGAAAATATAAATGAGGTATTCTTGGTGTAGCCATGTGTTTGAAGCATTGCTTTCAGCACTGGCTCGACCGCATGGTTTTGAGGGGTTCTGTCTGGAAAAATCTAGGTCAGCTACTTTTTGTAGGAAAAAAAAAAGGGGGGGGGGGAATCTTGATTATCAGCGCTGCTCTGTCTGAAATTTTGTCTTGTAGAGTATTTGAGCAATGTGTTTGAGAGAGACGTTCATTACGGTTTTGTTACTGGCTGGTTGGTGTTTGATTCCACCTTCTCTGAACTCAGATCAAGAGATGGAGAAGCCTGGATTCTTTCTGTCATGAGTTCAGCTTGAGGCTTGAGTCACCAAAAAGCTAGCTAGATATCTGTGATGCGTATTTAGTATTGCTGGAGTGAAAACAGCTAATCAGTCAAACAGTTCAAAGCAGATATTTTGCTACCGGGTATTATTAATCACAACTGACATGTGTTGTAGAGTTGTGCAGTCTTCTATTTAAGAGGCTCTCTATCAAAATGCATTTCATCCAGTTAGCTGGCACGCTCGCTTTGGTTCCTTTGGGTGTCGTAGTTGTGTATTTTACTTGTAAATGGCTGAATAGTTGAGCAGATTACAGCTGTGCTTGGGGAGCCCTGCCCAGTCAGCTTACAGATTTGGAATTAATGTTTTCATACAAATTTCATAGGTGGCGCTTGTGCATCTCAGTAATTCCCTGTGCATCACACTGGTCATTTCTTTCCATATATGAGCTTTGGGTTTAGAAGCACGGTAGATAATAACCATAAAAGTTTCATTGACTGTAAATATTTCATATTTATGAATGATTGATGACCAGATTTTTAAGCAAACTGATAAGAGTTGTGCAAAATGAAGACTACCTCTGTATAATTTTCTAAGCTGTGCTCAAAATATTATATGGGCTTTGTTGTGCAATTAAGATGCATGCCTGATCGGTATTTTCATTAGAAATATTAGGGCACGGGTAACAAACAGAAAAAAACACTTTTTATTGTTGTATCGGCAATAAAATTAGTCTGGATGGACTTCCTTGTGGATACAAGAATTTCTGTATCTGCCAATTTTCGTTCCATTGTAAGGCACGCTTTCTTTATGGATTATTTCAAAGATATTTTTTCAAGAGAATGTTTTTTATAACACAGCACTAATAGCTGGCTGTGTTTCAGTGACTACTTTCACCTATTTTGCTTTCAATTTTTTTTTAATTGCCTTTGATCTCCCTGGGGCTTTGAAGCCAAAAAAGCCCCATATAATGCTTACCTAATTATCAGGGCTCTCGCATCTTTAAAAGATTTCATTAACGATGCTGTTTTCTGATTCATGCAACCAGCTGAAGGTCTGCGTACCTCTCCCGCAGACGTGTTTGGATCTCACAGATTAGCGAAGAATCACTTTGCCAATAGGTGCCACTGTTGCTCTACACACACGTCTGGATCGTCGGTGCCCTTCAGCTGAAAATCCAACCTTGAAAAAGCAAACCTAAATCACAACGACTAAAACGTTGCAGAGGTAAAACTCTGTAAAGACCATTGCCAGAGGCTTGTCCATGCCAAGACTAAGGTATATGCTTTATCTTGTCCCTGAAAATAATTATTGCTAATCTTGAGCAAAACTGATGAAGAGATAAATATGCATTGAATTAATTCCAGGTGTATTTAATCTAAGCCTTTAATTTGCTGCAAGTTTATTGTTGAGCCTCAGACCAATAGCAGTTGAACCTTGCAAATATCGCCTCTGGACCAACCGTGATGTAAATGCAGAAGTTGCACATCAGCGCAATCACAATTTGGCCTTCTGACAGCAGTTTTTACATAGGTCGTTCACAGACGTTCTCAACCGAGTTAAGTATCAGGGTGGCCTATCCAGCAGTATAAAGGCCACCTACAGCTATTTCTTCTAGGTTTACTGTTTGGTAATGTAAGGTCAGCTAAGGTAGTTCACTTTGCGGCTTATCTGCCATTAAGTGTTATTCATATGTAAAGCCAAGGGCAATCAAGGACTGCTTGCTTGCTGCATTGGGAGAAACCTTGGTTCACCTTGTCCTTAGGTATGCAGCCATTTCATATGTTCACTTTAGTCTTGGATGTTTTGGATACATTATGTAAGAAAACCAGTTTCTTTTCTACTCTTTCTTCAAAGAAATGTATAGCAAGCTGTGTAAAAATGAAAAAACAACTAAGGACAAAGCAATTAAGAGACTTACGTCCTTTCAGGTTCAATCCCACTCAGTTATGAGGTTTTTTTTTTTCTTACTGAACTATTCATTGACTAGAAACCAACAGATGAAAATTTTGTTTTCAGTGATTTAATATCTTCTGAAATATTTCCAGCTATATGCACGTCAGAATGTAATCCAGCAACTTGTTCTAACGAGTAGACAGCCCTCCGCCTATATAACCTAGTTTTCATTGCGTCTGCGTGGAACAGATCGCTCTTACGTACATGAGCAACAAGCTATATTAAGTAGTACTTAAGATCACCCTAAGCAGTTTACACAGAGGCATCCCTTGCTTTTCTCTCTCGCCAGTTGGTCAATGGCTTGCAGATATTTCTGACCCCCTTCACAGTCCAGGATTCTACTGATGTTTCGGGGAAAACGTCCCTGTTTGGAAGCGAGGTCATGAGTTTTAGCTGTTTGTCTCAGTTGACGCTTAGCAAAAGCAGAGATCGGTGGGCTTTCATAGGAAACGCTGTAGACACTGTTCATCAGTCCAGCCTCTTCCTTGTGCCATTGTTTCATCAGGTGCTTGAGAAGGCCATAGTTGGTGGGTGGTTCTGAGACAGGAAATGATTAAATGTTAGAAATGATAGAATTAAATTTTTGGTCCTGGTGTTCTTACTCCATAGTTGTCACAGGGAATATTTGTACTATTTTGACAGCAGATTAAGGATGAAACGGATCTTTTTGTTCCCAGGGCATGTATGTCTACCCTCTGGCTGGAAGGGAAAATCACTGTTAGATATCGACAGGACAGCTGTAATGTTGTAAATGTAAGGAATCATGATTCTTCATAGTCTCTCTGGTAGATATTAAAAAAGTTAGCAGAGCTGTATATGTCACTTAAACTTAGAAACATCATAATACTCCATGAATTCTCCTGCTAGCTGTATCTCGCAGCTCTCCTTGATTTCAGCTGGTGTCTGACATTATTGCATAGGGGAAACAAATCTGTTCATTGACACTATCCTTCACCGCTTCCTGTGGTGATTAAGTATTGTTGTATGGATAACACTTCCCCTTTATCAATCCAAAAAATAAGCTACTGGCTGGGTAAGAAAGTGGCCGAAAGTGGCCAAAAGTCACCACAAGATCCATTTTCAGAATTAAACCAGAAGGAGGTTCCTGGCTCTAAGTCTATATATTGGCCCCCGCACCATGTTCTATCTGACTGAATTAATAATGCCAAAACCTACCAAGAATGGGGAAATCTGATTTCTCAGGAATCCAGGCAAACTTGCGTCCGTTCCAGCTGCGGAGGGGAGGCAGCACAGGGTTGTAACCGGGTCTATTGTATTTATCATCATACTCCGATACTAAATTTCGGCTTCTTGGTTCCTTGTGATGGGTGAAGAAGTGCTGCATTGGCAGGCCCTGAAATGAGATGTAAACAAAATCATGTTATTTGTCTTTGTACGTAGCATTCAGGTGGCTTAGCATGCTTTTGAGCCAGACTGTACTGCACAAAATTTTGTCAGTACTTCTATTACTTTTACTTATCATTTACTCCCTGAAAATAAGGTAATTTGCATTTCAAGTACAGTAAACATCCAGTTAAATTAAGCAACTACATCTGTATATAATAAGATCTGATTAGTCTGATTTCAACACATGCATCACGGATTTGCAGATGCATTTAAGAAGCCTGCAAATGAAAAGCTGATTGTCTTGTGCTGCTTAAGTGGTTCATTGTGCACTAGCATTACATCTGCTACCTTCCAACTGTCTGGCAGGAGAGAATGATAATAATATTTGGGGGTGGAGAAGCACCTTGGAGGAAGGGACATTCTAGCAGATGATACTTGTACGAAAAGAATTGTGAAAGACCTGGGCCTCATTTAAGTGCAGTTCGTTCCTATGAATCATAGGTGTACTGATGAAAATAATCCTCTTTTACTGGCAAGCTCATGTTACAGCCCACGGAGTGTCCTGAAGAGACAATACCAGTCCTAGCTGGTAGTAACGTACTGATTTTCATGTGCCCTGATCACCCTCCAGGACACAGACTGGGAAACAACCAGAGAGTACCAAGCAATGTGCCATCTGTCTACCTCTGAAAGGTATCCTACTTTAATCAAACATACGAGGGGGCTCTGGATCCTCTAAACTTGCCACGGAGCTGCCGTGCCTTCTTTTACACATATAGTTGTTTAAGGAGATAAAATACTGTTTAAGTATTAGTCAAAGTTCATCGCTATTTGGAATGTTCGCACACACAGCCCTGCATTTGAAATTGCTTTTACTTACCTCATATTTTTCCATCATGGTTCTCCTTATTGTTGGGTCTGGTTTGTGATCTGGGAAGCAAATGAAGTCTGTTCTGTATATGCTGCTGCTGAGCTTCCAGGTGTCTTTTGTAAACTGGAGAGATACACAACACTCATACAGCTATGGCAATCTGATCATTACAGAAGCTCTATTCCAGTGCTGCTTTCTTCATCGACACATTTAAAAAGCACTTTTTTGGAAAGAAGTCTGTGCTACGTACTTTTTCTCAGATGCCCAAGTCAGCTGCTGTAATTAGCCATTGTAAAATTCTGGACTGATTCCTTGCTGTAAAGATAAGATACTGTACAGGCCTTGAAAAATTATTCATGGTTCAGTGTTAAATACTTTCATCTGCCATGTGAACTAGCATCTGAAAAGGATGAATGAAGCTTTTTTTTTTTTTTTGTCCCTTTGTTCCTACTTCTGCTGCAGCAGGGGCCAGTCTCTGCAACAAAGTCTAGCATTTTGCTCCAGGAAAAAAAAAAAAATCTAAAGGAAGTAATTATAACAGTCAGGAGGATTTGCCCTAACAGCTCCAAGATTGAACCTAACTGGCGTGTTTTGATAAATGTCTAATGATAAAATTTTGCTCAGCTCTTTAAGTGAGGCATGCAATCCACCGAGCAGCTCTGCGGGCAAAGATCCTCTTGTTTATACAAGCAAATGAAACCAATATCCAAATTATGAAAGATCCTCTGACACAAGTAATAATAAGTACTAACTTATGGAAGGGTTAATGAAGCCTCTCGTATAATGTTGGTATTTATTATTAAATTGTATATATTGTTGTGGTATGTAAGTGGTATAGCAGTCTGAAGAGACTGCCATAAAAAGTTCTATAGCATTTTTAATCGGCTAATGTTACGTCAGGTGTGAACCACACAATGTAACTCACGTTCAGGCATTGCTTCTGTCCTGGCTTAGACAGAAGAATGGCAGATCATAAAATGAATGCATGTAGGCCAAGCAAGATGCTTATCCTTTTCCCTTCCATTGCTCTTCTGAGATGAGCCTGGAATCTGTCTTACGATTGCAGTAGAATAGTACCTCCCCAGCATCAGTTCTGACCCGCTCCCACACTTCTTTCCTGAGCTTACCCTTTTCCTCTCTTCCAGCCAGTTTCCAATGAGAACTTTAGTAGAGTATTTGGGTTCAATTTTCCACCAATCCTGTCCATCTTTCTGCGACACAATCATATTTCTTTGTCTCACCAGCACTACCCTCCCTGGTTGTTGGAACTGTCCTTCAAGTTACGTGGGTGAGATTACTCCGTAGTCCAGTGCTAAAACTAAGGCAGAAAGTGGCTCCCCGTCTGCCTGCCTGTGTGCTGGGCAACGCGGGTGACGTGTGACCGTAGAACCAGCTGTGTTTGCTATCCCCATGGTAACTCTGGTTCCAGTAACCACATTCTAGGATGCATCATATTTACTGTTGAGCAAAACGGTGGCTCCTAACCCACTAAACTCAGCTGGGTTTTTCTCCGAAGTTTGGAGTCAGAGCACAGAGTACATCTCAAAACATTGTGACAGAAGTGACGTACTCCTCTCTACCAACACACCACGCATGCCTGCGCAACACACAGTCTCTCTTCACAGACAGACATATTTTATTTCAAACAAGTGGGTCAAACCAGGATGTCCATTCAAAAGAATGTTCTTCTTTATTGACATAGCTAAAGATAAGGGCTTGCAGCATGGTACAAGCTTGTATAAGCTCTGCATATTCCATGTTCCAACTAACAGCTGGAATGAGGTTCTGGTGAGCCTTGTTTATCCTTGTTAATGGCTGCCCTTGATTGACTACCCATCATCTGATATTAAATATCCTACAAAGATATAGTCCTAGGTTGAGGCATGAACAGACTCGTGGAATCTAAGATGTTTACTATAAGCTTTTTAAGAAGTTAACAACACTGTCCAATCCCCTTTTCCCAGATGGAAACGAGAAACCGCAATAATCATAGAGGCTTATGATTCCATGGAATCCATCCTCGAGGTGGTACCAGGTCACTCGAACACCGTTGTCCTCCAGTCTCTTCTTGTAAAGCAAGCCGTCGTCCCTCAGCACATCGTACTCGCAAGTCAAGATGAAAGACTCGGGCAGCTGGTGAACAATAGCATCTTCGGCTAACAGTGGGCACAGGTTGGGCTCACAGAATCTTTTCACTGTCTCATAAACTTCAGCTATAAAATCAGTGGGCCTAAGTGGCTTCACACCTCTGACCTTAAATTTTTCGGGGATGTTATCTGGACTCACCCACTTCCTGTACTTCAGCCTCATATCTGGAGGGATATGAGAGCCCTCCAAGACCTCCTGCACATGCAATGCATCCCCATTTAGGTACTGCAAAGCAAAGAAAGCGGCACGTTCTCGGAATAAGAGAGGGACTCCCCGATTTTGATGATAAGATGGTAAATTGAAGTCCAGGGCCTGAAGGCCTGGGTAGATCAAGACCTGAGCACGCAGCCTGGGGAGGTCTGATCTACCTGCAAGGGTCTGGCTAACAGCAGCTGCTAGATTGCCCCCAGCACTGTCCCCGCAGACGATCACGTTGGCAGGATCCACCCCGTAGTGCTCGATATTCTTCATGAAGTGTATGGTGGCATTAAGACAGTCTTCATACGCAGCAGGGTATTTGTGTTCAGGAGCTAAACGATACCTAGTGAACAAAAGAGACAAGTGTAAGAGAAGGACATGTCATTAGTGTTAATCGGGAAATGGTATCCTTTGCTGTCTTCCAGCCCTGTCATTTTGGGATGGTTTTCCTCCAGATCAGGACATTCATACCTCCTAAGCAGGCTTTCCCCAGTTAGTGATTGCAGATAAGTTGTAAATTGTGTATTCAATCACAAGGACTCAGTAAAGTAGGATTGTCTTCTGATTAAGAGTCTGACCGAGACTTTGCACATTTCTTAGTCATGCTGAAAACTCCCTGTGTGTTCTTGACAAGATAATTTAATAATTTTGTGCCTCTGCTTCCTATGTGTAAATGGGAGTAATACAGTGTGATTATTCTCTCTTTTTCTGTAAATCACAATTGTTTGGAGCATCTTATTACATGTTCAGATGTTCAGCACAAGGAAGACATTTTTAACCTAAGTTTTTGCTTGGCTTTTATAGATTTTCTCAGTGTGTGAGATATTTCCATTTGGGTCTTCTCTAAGTCTATCAGGGCGTGAACAGTTAAGAGCTGTGAAATCTCCGTTACGACTATTTGTCTCCCTGTGAACTTCACTGAATTCTATAGAAACCTCTCCACAAAAAAAGAACATCTCCAAAACCAGTGCAGCTCTGCTGTAGCACCACAGCATCAATAATCTCCAAATAGAACTGGGTAGGGTTCACTTACTGAACAGATACAACTACTGATTCACTTTCTCTGGATATGTAGCGGCATACTTTTTCATAGGTATCTGGAAAAGAAATATTTTCATTAGTGCTTTGCTATTGCCCTAATCTTTGAGACAGCTAGCGAACGTTCATCCCAGAAAGGCATGTATTTGTCTGTCCCCCAAATCACATGCTGAAACCTCCTCTTATTTTGATTTTATAAAAAGATGAGCATGTTCTTTCTACATTACCATAAATCCTCCAGCAAATATCTTACCAAGACTTCCAAAGACCCAGCCTCCTCCATGAAAGAAGATGATACCTCTCCTTCGCCCCTCAGAGGTAGCTTTAGGCTGATAAACCCGCACGGGTACTTTGTTGAACTGCAGATCCCGGATAAAGAGCTTTGGATCCACCCCTAGTTTCCGTCCCTGTCGCACGTATCGGCCGAAAGTGATTTGACTGCAAAGTCCAGTCTTCTCCAAAATTCTTCCCTGTTAAAAGAAATGAAGACTTCTTTAAAAGGCTTGAGTTAGCCAAGGTGTAAAAACTCTGCATCATACTTAACATTGAACTGTATTTGAGGGAAATTCTAAAGAAACACAGAGCTTATACAGAAAAAAAAAAGTGGTAATGTTGTAAAATATGAATACACTATAAGAAGGTGTAACTGTAACAACACAAGAAGTTAGAATAACTTCTCCCAAACACTCTCTAAATGGCTTCCTGTGTACTAAGTACTGATAGGAGAGATCACTGTAACAGCTGGTTTAGTCCTTGGGTTTTTGCTTTAACAAACCCGTGGAACACAGTGAGGAAAAGTAACTCCACAGCTGGTTTTCTTGGTAGGAACGCCCAGCTCTAAGAAAGTGAGAGATCCCAGGATAGAGTCAGAAAAGAGTATTTCTTTTAAGTTTTACCATAAAGGAGAAGTTCTGCCTTATACCAGCTGGAGTCTGAAGAATCAGTGCGAAAAATCTAGGTTTCACATACAGCAATTTGACCCCCATTGTCTGATAATAATAAAGTGCTCTGATTTGAGAAAAACAATTTTCCCAAGCTCTCACATCCTACAGGCTGTAGACAACTTACTTCCATTACTCAAGTCCGGTGTCATTTGAATATCACAGCAGAGATTTTACACAGGCCACATCCAAACTGCCTGTCTTGGAGCACACATTTTGTCAGTGTGGCCTGCACACCTTTGTGCTCATTCTTGTTTCACTTGGTAACAACAATGAAATGTTTTGTATAGAAACAGCAACGAAAGTTTTAATAGTTCTTCATTGCATAAACTAATTATGGTCTTGAATTAGACTCAGTGAATTGGCAAATCTTAAGTGATGAGTTGTGTTGTGCAAGTCAGTTACTGCTTTTTATTTGCAGAGCAGATTTCCTGTGCAAAATCAAGATGGTTCCTTTCCCAATGATCTTGCACATTAGAATATAAATCTGATGTAATAAGTGAACAAACTAGAAGTTGGGAACCAAATGAATGAATGGAATCAAACAAATAAACAGTTACAGTTCAGTTACTAAACAAGATCCCAGTGGTAAATGCCCAGTGAGAGTCTTTATCCATTTTCTCGTTGTCACCTGCTAGTGGGATTCGGGAGAGCTGGGTAGGTTGGTCAGTAAATTTCAAGAGGATGTGGATGGTGTAAGAAACAGCGCAGAGGAGAACATGGTCTGTGTGATAGCAAAGGCGATGTTGTGGCTAAAGAAGTGAAGGAGAAATTTGAAGATTTAAAAAAATTAAAAGATAGAGCAAGTGACCGAGGAAGAGTTTAGGAGAGCTCTAATGCCGTTTATGCAATGCTCTACAAGGGAGTCCAGGGATTAAGTAAAGCAGCCCTAACCGGATTTTGTACCATAAATGTCAGCCGTCGCAGGAGCAGTTTGGGGCTGCAGCTTTCCTGCTGGCAAGGTGACTTCGCCGAGAGCTGAGGGCAGTTCTCAGCGAGGACACCAGCTCCGCTCTGAATTCGGCCCCCATCGTCTGACGAGCCCCCGCACGCTGCTGCTGAACGTGAAACGCGTTTTGCCCCTGACAGG